CTATCATCAGTGTTACTATCCTGCCTCCTGTATTCCTACCAACTTTGATCGCTCTAGGTCCACTTTGACATCTCTCTGCAACCCCGCCCCTTGTGGGTAGGAGTTATGATTTTCCGCTCAAACCAGTCCGGTCCTACTACTCACCATAAGTGTTTCCATCCTGCCGCCTATACTCCTACCAAATTTTAGTGCTCTGGGTCCACGGGGTCAGGAGTTATGAGTTTTTGCTCGAACTCCGCTCACTGTGGGCGGAGTTCGATCTTGCCATCCACCATGAGTGTTCCCATCGTGCCGCCTGTACTCCTACCAAATTTGAACGCTCTAGGTCCAAATTTAAGTTTTTCACACGAAGCCCGCCCCTTGTGGGCGAAGTCCGGTCCTGCCACCCACCATAAGTGTTCCCATATCGCCACCTGTACTCCTGCCAAATTTGAAGGCTCTAGGTTCGAGTTTGAGTTTTTCACACAAACTCCGCCCCTTGTGGGCGGAGCCCGGTCCTGCCGCCCACCGTAAGTGTTCCCATGCTGCCGCCTCTACTCCTACCAAGTTTGAGCGCTTTAGGTCCACGGGGGCAGAAGTTATGACTTTCCGCTCAAGCATTTATTTCGCACAAACCCCACCCTCTGTGGGCGGAGTCCTGCCCCGCCACCCACCACTAGTGTTCCTATCCTGCCGCCTGTACTCCTACCAAATTTGAAATCTCTAGATCGACGGGAACCTGAGTTATGAATTTCCGGTCAAACACAAAACTACACACACAGACAAACCAACAGACACACTTAGCGCGTTACATATAGTAGGATATTTGCTACGAGGACAAGGCATGACATGCTAACCCTATCATTTGTTGCTTTTTGAATCTCATCTTTTACTGGAATACATATTCCTTTTCTTGAACATTGAGTGACTGCCCGGCTTCTTGCTTGTATTTGATAATATCCGCAGCTGTCAATTTCATTAAACCAGTAAAAAAGTGTTGCTGAGCGGAAGTACGGCAATGCTTAGGGTTTTCGAAAGAATGATCTGATCGAGACCATCGGTCACTTACTTAGATATTTCGACTTAGGCGACCCGACCATCAGCACGGCGATTGGCCTTGCGCGGGTCCCAACTTCTTTTCTATTGTTATCGATCTTGAGCTCTGGTTGTCCAGTCGTATTCACCCTAAAGAACTCCGGATCTAGACGTTGTTTCGACAAGCTAGAGAATCTGCCCATCGTAAAGGAGGACGGCCATGCGGCCACTTCTTCTCACACGGGTACCATCGTGTAGTGGCCAAGCTCCATCGTCCATCCTCTCTTCTCATTAGGTGTTCGGCAAATCTGTGCTTCGCTTCATCGACGTGAACTAGAACGTCTCTAACTTTCGACATTGCTCTGACGTCGGAATTATGAAGTTTGAGCTCTCGTTGCCGACTCAGCGTTAGACCCAAAAGAAGACGGGCAATCGAAGCCTGGGTGAACATTAAATGTCTTTCTAATGGTTTTGTCAGAGCCCAGGTTTCTCCGCGTATCTGGGGGCACGCAACGCCGTTGAATTGAAAAAGTCTGCTCGAAGTTTGCAGTCCCTGGTCTCCTCTAGTACTCTTCTTATTGATTTAAATGCTGCCCATCCAGCCTTGCGACGTCTTGCTAACTCTCCAGTTAAGTCATTCCTCATGTTAAGCTGGCTCCCGAGGTACACGTACTCGCCAACGTTTTCGATAGCACCTCCTTCCAGAAGTACAGGGGTATCCCCTGAGAATTGGTTTCGCATTTCTTTGGTCATAGAAGTATTGATGGTGAGACCACAGTGGCTTCCTTCCTCATCTAGGCGATGCAACATCTCAGAAGCGTGTTCTGGAGAGTCCGTGATTAACACAATGTCATCGGCAAATCGCAAATGGTTAAGACGCACACCGTCGATGTTAACACCAAAGTTACTCCAGTTGCAGCTACGTATGACGTGCTCTAGGCAGGCGGAAAACAGGTTTGGCGATATCGGATCCCATTGTCGTACTCCTTTCTGAAGTGCTACTACAACGTCATTGTAGAAAGAATGGAATACCGTTGTACAGTCTGAGTAGCATTCTCGTAGTACGTCCACGTAGATCCTTTCAACACCTTGCTCCTCCAGCGACTCCCAGACCTTTACTGGCTCCACCGAGTCGAACGCCTTCTTGTAGTCAGTGAAGGTCATTACGAGGGGAAGACGATGCTCCCGGGAAGCCTCGATAAGACGTCGGCAAGTTGCGATGTGGTCGAGGTTTCGACGGTACTGAAGTTTCGACGAAAACCCGATTGTTATACCGGTTGAGCCTCTTTCAGGCTCCTACGGATTCGTGCCAGTATACAACGTGTGAATACTTGATAAAGTACTGGCAGAAGCGTGATAGGACGATAGTTCGCTAGATCTTATTTGTCGCTCTTCTTGATCAGCAGCACTGTCGAAGACTGCTTCTACGCCGTTGGAACCGTACACTCCGCCAAGAAGCGAGTGTATCGCCTTGCAAGTGCTTGATATAAAGGAGATCCGCACGCTTGTAGAAGCTCCACGGAGATGCCGTCTTTCCCTGGCGCCTTGCCTCGAGGCATCGTTTCAATCGCATGACGCAACCCTGATGGCAAAAAAGGCAGCGTTTCCTCCAGAACTGATCTTTCTTTTCTCGCAACTGGAAGGTCCGATCTGAGCAGAGCGTAGAACGTTGTCAAGTTTCCTTTCCTTCCAGTATGGAGCAGCATCGAGTTCCATTCGCAGTTTTTAAGCATGGAATCCTAAGACGGTGCTCGGCTATCTTTCTTCTCGCCTTCCTCAAAGTCCGCCTGTTCTCTGCCTCGTCAAGGAGTTTCGATTCTGCAAAATTGACCTGTTCTTCAGCAATTCGTTGCCTACACAACCTACTTAGCAAAGGGTACTCCACGTGGTTTTCCTGTTGATCCATATTTCTTCGCTTTTCGAGTAATGCACGAGTAGAAGCAGAGATGCTACGAGAACTGTGGTTGGGAGCAACTTTGCGACAGCTGTGTGCGATTGCGGTTACGGTTTGCACGAGGTTCTCGTAGTCGGTGTCGATGTCATCCATCACTTCAAACAACTCTTCTTTTGCAAGCCTCATGACCGCAACTTCGTCCAGCATAGTGGGGCACGGCTGCCTTGAGCGTATGCGTGTCAATCTAGGTGAAAACGCCCTCGCAGTAAACGATGATCGCTCCCGTGTTGAAAGAAGGGACAACCGCAATGTCCGTCATGGTTTTAAGATTGCACAAGATATGGTCGATTTTGTGACAGTGTTGTCCATTCGGCGAGATATGAGTCCATCTTTTCCGGGTGCTTTGAGGAACTGACTATCGCCATGGTAGAGATGATGCAGTTAACAAAAACTCGCTAATCTCTCCCCAGGCTCGTTGCGCTCTTCTGCCGAATGTGCCTCGCCGTGCTTTCGTGATCCGACCCGGGCGTTGAAGTCTCCCATCACAACGACGTAACCACGTTGCCTACGCACGAGCTCCTCGAGTTGTTCGTAGAAGCTGTGATGCTTCCCTTCATCGCTGTCAGCTGCAGACGCGTAAGCCTTTATGATGGTGACTTGCGAATCTCTCGTAAGGTACGCGGTTAGTATGGCGAGTCGGTGCCCATGGAACGTTATGCTTTTTACGTGCTTGGAGAAGTTCGGAGACACAAGAAAACCAACACCTCCTGACGTTGAAATCTTTTTTCAGGCTCCTAGAACACTGAATTTCCGTCGGTCCAGGTGCATGAGAGAGGTTCCTTCCGCTTCGTCTCGCTCAAGCCGGCTACATGGTACTTAATCCGTCCAGCTTCATCGATGAGTGCCGAAAGCTGAGCGGCCGAGCTGATGCTTCGACAATTATAGGTGCAAGCTATCAGCTGGCTCACTCTCGTCCGTCTCCTTTGGTAGCCTCTGGCCCTGAAATTTCTTCGCCTTTGGCTGTGTGCTGATCCAGCGCTACCTGACTGGGCAGGGACAGCTTGCAGGGGCTAAGGCGAGGATAAGTGGTCGTAGTACATCTTCGTCCCACAGGATAGCCTTACTACGGTGATCCTATCGCTTAAGGAGAGCGCCGTCCCACATGAGCTTGGGCACTTTGGGTTCTTTAGTCACGGGAATCGGTATGGGGTTGCAGCGTAACCCTATTCTGACGTCCACGTTCGGCTTCTTGGAATCTGGCCAAATTGTATAATGTTTTTCGCTGTTTTGTCGTACAGGTTTGTTAAAGGCACGGTTCACGATAAAAAAAGGTTAGTGAGTTCTTCTTTTAGGAATACTCAGCGCCCCCCATGGGTGGTAGAAGGGACCCTTTCGCTCCCGCAATCTCGGCGCTTAAGGCATAGTGGATGCCCCGTTGCTGCCGTAGTTCGCTTTCCTCTTGATCGGTGTCACGTTAGACGAGTGCCGAGACAATACAGATTGCTATTATTCGTTCTAGGACCCACGCACAATCAGCTAATCGCCGAGTGATGAGGCGATGTTTTTCTCCCATTCTTTTTCCTCTGTTTTTCTTTTTGCTGCCGCGGTTTTTTTTGTTTATTTATGCTTATAAGTTGGTGAATTTTTGCTTACCATTGTCGCACCAGGACCCACACGCGCGCAGAGAAACACACTGTTTAGCTCGTCCGGACGCCCCATACTCCTTCATTTTTCTGGTTTCATTCTCGTCCAGCCCACTTTTTAACCCTTTTTCCCTTTTAACTCTTAAACTCTTCTAACTTTTAACCCTTTTTTCAACCCGAAGCCTTTTTTCACTTTAGAAACACCGATGCACGCAGTTTCTTCACCTCAGTCGCACTAGTTTCGATCTTGTCTTCCATTTTTCATCATGATCTGGATTACCCAAAATTATCGTGTACTGCGACTTTAAGGCAGAAACCGCTTTATTGGTCGACGTTTCGACAAATTGTCGTCTTCAGGACCTGAAAGCAATTCGGAGCTTCTGATCTGTGGTTCACCCGACCAAGCGCCCAAACGCGCTAGCCCAGTTTCAACAGCTCCCAGAAACTTGAACGCGAAAAGATCCCAACCGAGAAACCAACCTTCTGCGGTTCCACCAACGTTGTCGTCCCACTAAATTTCGTAAGCAAACGGGGATCAATGAGATACACCATTGACGGCCTTTTGATAAGAGTTGCGCGGTGTTCTCAAAGCCCACAAAAAGAAATGAATGGCAGAAATTCGCTTGTTATGGCAATGCACTCATTTCGGTTGTTCAGCTCGGGATTTTTCTCGTGGATGTGGACACTTCAAAAATCTTTCTACCACTGATCTCATTCTCGTAGGCTAGAAAAAATCCAGAGCCTTCTCCGGTACTAATGCGCCGCCAATAGCAGTAACTCGTGCCCGACTTCGCGAATTGTTCACTTGTTGAGTGGTCCTAGCTACGTAATGATTTCCGTATTGCTCGCTCCTCAGGGTGTTGTACTAAGCGCATAGCGTAGCTTTTGTCCTAGATCGAAGTCACAGACCTTCGAACCACGTTCAATCGCTTTCCAACAACGATCTTTCAGTAGCCGTCTACAAGATTCCTCTTTCGCTTTACATTTTAATAAGCTAGAATACAATATGTGCTGCTTCTGTTTAACAGCTACGCCTAGGATATTACGAATTTATTCTGACTATTCTATTCTATTCTATTCTATTTATTCCTATTCTGACGAATATTCTGACCCAGCCTCAAGCTAGTACACCACTGCAAGGTAGAACCCTTGTACCCTTGTTTCAAGGGGTATCGGTTGAAGGAAAATTTCCTACTTACATAGCACTGCTATGGTGGCGTGCAGAGAGGTAATGGTATCCACTTGGAAGCATAATTTGTGGCGGCTGGCTCTCAGATTTATCAAGTAAGAAGAGGTAAAGCAGGTGTTGCACCTAGGTAATTGGGCACAGTTAGAAGAATGCGGCAGGCAGGTGTGGGCGGAGGCTCACGAGATCAGATTAGACTAATCCAATACAACAAGTGTATGGCAAGTTTTTAGTCGAGCGGGAACAATAGAAACGCATAGACATTCTTGATAATAATTTTATAATTCCCGCCTTCGTCGCAAAAATGTTGAGTTGTAGACAAAACGCATGATCTCAGCCGATACTAGGACCTGGACTACCTCTGAAACATCGTTGAAAATTTACAAACTTATCCAGGAATTTGGTGAACCCAGTTACTGTCACGCCAGAAATAATGACAGTAACTTCAAAGTTTTCGCGCCTCAATAGTGACATTACTGATAGCGCCTGGAAAGGATAGGATAGGAGGATACTTCGCTACTGTAATGCCGGTTTGTTAATGGCGTTTAATACCAAATTTTGACGTGAATAGAATGTAATGATCGCCAAGAGCTCTCTTCTACCGTAGAACAACTGAAAATAACCATAAGTATCAGTGGGTGTTGACACGACATTTTTCAATGCTACGATATCGGTCGATTCAAATCATCACTAATGATCCTTACCGTTTATAGGCCGTTGTGGACTAAAAGCAGAATTATTGGATTGCCCGAAAAGTTCCCGCCGATTTTCGATTCATCTTTGAATTAAAATTCCTAGAAGAAGAAATTCATTGATTAAACCATATATCCTCCATTTCAAGATGCTGGTATCTCTTAGCTTCAGTCCAACTTGTTTTTCATGTGTATTTTCGAAGCTCTTGATACTCCACTTTACTGGTTAGCTTTCGGCATATAATGCCTTCTTCAGACCTTAACTTTACAATACATATTGTAGTTGCAAACGACCAGTCAACAATCAGTTACTACATAGAACACATCGGATCCTATCAAACCAACCGGAAATGTTGGGGGAAGAGGGAAGGGAAGTGGACCTATTGGCGGAGAACTTGAAAGAAAAATGAGACCGCTCTTCTCCTGAGGCGACGGAGCGTTATCATTCAATCAGTCTCAGCAAGTCACGCATCTCCTCCTTTGCGTTGATTTCCGGTCGGATACGGTATATTTCCCGTGCCTCCATGATTTTCCTTTCCAGAGGCCGTACCAAATATCTATGTAAAACTCTCACATCGAAAGATGGAGCATTCTCCTTCTCATGCCTGAGTGTACGGTGCCTGGAAAAGCTGCTGTGTGGGTAGGCAGCGGGATTAGCCAACGCTCTTCTACATATGTTCGTCCAGACGGATCTTCAAGGGTCTTGCGGTCTCCCCCACGTACTTCTCTCCACATCCTCCGCATTGAATCAAATAGACGGTGCCTTGAAGCTCGCAGATCTTTTCAGATGTACAGTAGCGACAACACTGCTCGCGGCACCGTTTTTCGTACATTCGAGAGGATGTCAGGAGATCCTTCAGTGTAGGGGGAGGTCGGAAAACAAGTCGAATAGGAAGCTGGGAGTTCTTCACNGGTAAGACATCCCACCCGAGCTTTAGCAACTTTTGACGAGTGGCCAAAAATACGTGTGGTCTGGAGGTACCCTGTTGGAAGATTACGCCCTCACAATTGGCCACTTCGGGTCGCTTTAGGTCTATCGCTGCCTCTATATTTTCTAGCTAACTATAGTACCTTTCCTAAGTCATCTTTTGATTGTGCGACAACAGCTCATGGTAGTTGCTAAAGTTTCCCTGAAATCCCATCAGCAACTCGGCATAGTCATCCGCTCCTGGATTTTGACTTTTGCAGCGGTTTGTGACGGCTCACTAGGGGGCTACACGATAGTTTCCGCTCCTCATTGCTGTACACAATCCGAATTTCGTCACTCGTGCTGATGCGTTCCAGAAACGGCCCATTTTTATTTCCTTCGAGCAACGAGTCGCACATGGAGGCGCGGTTCATCGCATTGCGCTCGCTCATTTCGCCAGATATCTAAACATCAAGGCGTTTTGCAAAACCAAGTGTCTGCAGATGACCATGAATGGTTGATTTCGAAACACCAAGCCCTGATGCTACTCCACGAATAGTTATGTGCTGATTCGCTTTGGTTCACACTTTGATTTGGTCGTTTCAACTGATGATAGTCTCCTTGAAGGTTGCCGGTCTTCGAGGGTAAATTCACACTGATAGGATTTCGCAAATTAGTCATGCACTGTACGTTCTTCTAGGGCATGGTCTACTCAAACGTCATATATTTTTCATGCGGCTTGAGTCGCATTCTAGGCCTTGCAATAGAAGAAATACTTCAGATGTCGAAAATGAGCGCAGTAGTTCCCCATTTTCACACGAGTACTGAACAGAAAAACTTCGACAAATGTTGACAGAATCTTAATAGGAATATAGAGGAGGATCTACTTTTTCAGAGAAAAATCGGCGGAAAATTTCGGATAACCCAATACATTGTCTTACGTAGAATCATAGTTCAAGCGAACGCCTAAAAGTATCTGTCGTCCTCCCATTCGTGAGCCAATGTAGTCCAGTAGACAGTGCTGATTCCATCGAGGAGTACTAGGCATAGCGTTCTTTTCGTTCAAGCTTTGACGAATGAATGTCCATCGCGGAGTTGTTGCAGTTCTGGTGTTCGTTGGGTGCCCCACCGCCGGTCGGTCGATGCTGAGTCGGTTAGAGTCCAAGTCTGAGGTGCATGACGAAGCAGGGAAGACCGCAATGGACGCTTTCAGACTCCACCGACGTGCACTGTTTCAACCGACCGACCACCGACGGCGTTTCTGGCTTCGTGTTGACAACGCAGGACAGACTGCGAAAGCGCGTCACCGCGCCAC